AAACGTCTTACTGATAAATTTAAGTAGTACAATAGTTGCTTCAAATCGATCGATAAGACAAATGAATCTTTGGCTTACTATTATGGAATTTAATTCACTATATCCATAAAATGGGGTGTGCGATAGACTTACCTCCACGTGGTGCACCCTGGGCAACGTATACTCATACGGCAAAAAAGTCTATTAACAGGCAGTTGACTTCTGACTTCAAACTACCACGACCCCCCTGGCTGTCATATTCGACTACTTTCACAGTACTCACCTTACCTTTTTCTCTACCTTTGTGTCTGTCTGCCTCTTTTACATCTGTGAATCGCTCTTCTGTTCCCCACCCCTCGACTTTCTGCTACTTTGATGAACTTTCCCTCTGTGAAGCCCGAAGTCAGCTAAATGGCTAATGATATCTATCAAAACGCCTGCCATTTGAAATAAATAAATAAATATCCATAAAATGCCTTAAGTTATTTCACTGAAAAACTTTGCCGAGTTCCAACTGCTTTTAAAAATTTCAGTTGATCATAAGTTCTTCACGTACTTTGAAGGCCTTAACTTCTCCCTATAAATAAAAGAATGAGTTTTCGACATTGTACCTGGCTGAAGGAAAGGTATTCTAGAGCTTATCTTAGAAGAGAGCTATTTCTACGAAGGGTACTAGAGACGTTTGTAAGATTGAACGAAGTCAAAAATAGTCAGACCTCTAGAATAATAATAAGAAATGATACTAATTATAAAGAATACCCATACTCCCGATGGAATAAAAGGATCATTATATATAGCGTTCGTGAGATGACTTGCTGTTCAAAACCCGACGAGAATGATATCGATATAATGTTGAATAATAATTTTATAGTACAATAAGAGTGTTCTGCAGAACCTGCTCTGATTAAGGGGATGTAGGAAATATTTATAAACGATTGGCATGGATTAATGACAAGCAAGGCTAAGCTGAAGAGTACCTTAAATTCATTCTTCTGAAGGTGAGTTTCGAACCAACTTCACTTTAGAATACCTTTAATCCTAATTACATAAATGCCTACATAGCAGACCTATCAAATAGCCAATGTCTGATCTCAAGTTGGAAACCTTATTTGACCTCAGTTGTCTCGTTTTTGGGACCGTTTTAGCAGACAGTTGCTAATTGGGACGTCCAGGTCCCAGAATTTAAATGACTTGATTTGGCCTCCGAAACGCGAAAAAATGCCCACATGTCATTTCAATCCACCTCTTCCACTCAAATAGTTGAAAAGACAAAAAATTGTCCTTCATTCAATTCATCCCCGCCAAGGATTTGAATGAGGAAAGGGTGAAGTTTGAGAAAAAAATTGGCTTTATCAGAGCACACCTATATCCAATGTTAGCGTAGTTAATAAAAGCAATAAGTTATTTCTCTTTAGCTATCTCCTAGTTGCAAATATCAAGTCTTTCAGAAAAAACTAAGTTAATATGTAACTGGAAGAATACATTTGTACTAGAAATACTGTGACGTACTGCAACAGAACTTCCTCTTAGCCTGGTTGATTTCTACGGTTCATTTTCTAAACGGCTCTAAGTCATTTCAGGTGTTTATGTTAGTGGCCTATTACCGTGAACAGACTGTTTACTGGTAAGTATCGTTAGAAGCCAACATCACCAATCGACTTGTCAACTAGAAGAGACAAATCCCCTCTTGCAATTTCCTACCAGTTGCACACCAACTCATCATGTCATACCTGTTTACCCTATCTTCCAACATTTAGTGCTCAAATCAAATCCCTAATAAATCTTCAAAGAACTCACTTGAAATCTTAAAACTAAATTTTGCAATCACACAACGATTCACAAACCAAATTCCCGAAAGGAATCCTGCACACGAGTTGCATTGAATAATTTATTTAATCCTTTAATTCGTATATAACTAGACAGAAAAGAGCCAGTTCATTTCATCTTGGCACTATCGAGTTTTCTTACTTTCAAGAAAAAGACAATAGCACCAACTACCATGGCGAGAATCATTCCACCAATCAGAATGTAAAAGACACCGGATAGGTTGATGAGAGCCAGAGGCTCGCTTGTTTGCTGTTCACCACCTTGCAAACATTCACCCTTCTCAATCCACCATTCTTTGTACAATTTCGCCAGCACCTGATTCTCCCGCAAACGTAGAATAACATCGGTTACATGCTCCTTGAATATCCTCATCTCTGGTTTGTTTGATGGTAGTCCTACAGCGTATGCCTTGCTTCCAAATACACTTCCCACCATCATAGTATCACATGGTTGCCTATGATTGATATATTCAATCATCTTCGACTCTGCGACAAAGGTATATGATTTGGTTCGAACACGTTCAAATCCCGATTCCAGTGTGGGAACATACACCGATGGGTCTTTTTCCATTCTTTTAAATATTGTCCTGTAGAGATTATCTTTAGCATGCGTAAAGAAATCCTTTGTAGCTCCTGAATCCAGGGTTCCAATTTGGATAGGTAAATCCTCCTTTTCTGCAAAGTCCTTGATAGAATTAATAGGAGAAATCAAGCGTTCAATCGAGAGTGCGGCAGCTAGATTTGCCGTGTAATAGGCCATCACAACGAGACATACATACCTCCAAATACTAGCAAAGACACGTGCACCGGGAGAAATAGGAAAGATATCAATACCCTGATGTACAAAAGAGGCCACAGAAAACCAAATACAATTTCCTAGATTAAAACCCAAGGCGGGGTTTGCAGGCTTTCGTTCTTTGGGAGAAATTGCAGCAATAAGACATAAGCCCAAGCCGACAATTATCGTAGCTGCGGCCATTCTCAACCACACTTCATTCTTTAGAGGTGAAAGAAAACTGAACATTCCGGGCTTTGTCTTTCCAGGTTTGCGGATAATGAGAGCCAGACCAAAGTTCATAAAGGGCTCTGAAAAATCAATAACTTTTGCTCGCATTGTGTTCATTGTCAAGGGTGCAATAATCAAATCTGCCTCGTCTCGAAGTATTTCTCCAACCATACCATTCCATTCATCAGTATCTGGGTCAATGACCCCGAATTTGTTATCTTTCACCAGATGCATTTCGTAATTCAAGTTCAGTTCACTAAAAATGTAATCAGCAAGATCTTTGCAATATCCCACGAAGTTGTCTCGACCGTCTTTTGCATCGCTTACCTCCGGACTAGCAGGCATTATGAAGGGTTTGGATAAAACTGTTACAACGCGAAGAGTTTTATTTCTTAAACGATAAATTTCCAAGAGATTGTTGTAAGTTATAGGCTCAGACATTCTCTCTCTTAATCCGGCATATGGCATTCTATTCGAGAAGCCTAAATGTGTGGACATAGAAGGTAGGACCCATCCCGAGTGTCGACTCCATTTTGCAATAGTTCGATTTTTCTTCTCCCCAAAGACTGATGACAAAAGGAGATTGTAATCCGTCCTTTGACATGTTCCCTCATCAAATTTAATAAGACCTGTTTGTCCAATAATTTCTGTTGTTGTTAACCAAGATTTTACTCTTAATCCAGGTTGCCACCTTTGAAGTAAAGAATCACTGACCAAGGTTCCAGAGGAGGTGAAGCATTTTGATTTGATCGTAGAATCCCGACTCTTCCACAAACCATTCTCAGCTGCTTTTTTAAGACTTCTACCAACTTCAAGCGCATCCATGATTGAAGCAATAGTATGAAGTGGTATTGGAACATCTTTCCATTCCTCAGCGAATTTGACCACTACGTCATTTTGATAATCCAAGAAGTGGAATCCTCTTAAAGTGACTCCACTTTGACGATACTCTTCCAGATTGAGTTCATAGATATCAAAATCCACAAGAAGATAGCTATATTCTGATCGCATCATACCCATCCGTCTAAGCCACGTTATAAGTGTTTCTAATCTCTCAATGCCGGATAATGATTGGCTGCTTTTGGGCTTTCCCAAATCGATTATTACATTCCTATCAGACTTTAAAGATAGGTGCGCATCGATAGACTTCAGTGTTGAATGCATTAATTCATCGTCATTAACGTCAATAAGTCCACTAACAATTGGTGGTTGTATTTTACCAGCTGGTTTTCCGGAAGGTGGTCGTGGAATGGAACTTCCGGGGGAAATATCAAAATCAGCAATCCTTTGATTTATGAATTGAAGTCTTTTAAAAGCATCCGTTGACCCGTAGAGATAAGCAAACGACTTCCATTGCCAAGTTACAATATAATCGATAAGAGGTTGGGTGATATCGGGTCGAACTGAGAAGAGTTTACATCCACTGTCTTCTGCGTCTCTTAAAGGGTGCTCAAGAATAGGAGAAGCCTCATCCCAAGTAATATAAGGATAGCCAAATGTCGACGAAAGAGAATGAAAAAGTGGAGCAGCTGGAGAAGGAAGAATGCCAATCAGAGCAGCGCGTTCAACAGCCAAAGCACGACAATAAGCAGAAAGCACCGTGTAACCACGATTCTCCTGAATTCTCTGAATCGCCGGTGATTCGCCATAACGCTGAGCTAGTTTACGAATTACACCAATAAGTTGGGATTTTCCTCCGGACGCAGTAGTATTCCCAGTAGGGGTATCAAGTATTATCGTAACACCTCGACTATTATTCTCCGCGGAGTTGATGAAGGGAAGAAATACAAGAAGGGTTAAAAGAGAGCTTTTAGTGGTGAGCATGCTGGCGATCTGAGCTCAAAATGTGAAAAATTCGGCCAGCAACTCGAAGTGGGTCGAGCGTATGCACTTAGCGCAATACTCAGATTGGATGGGCAAGCATCGACCCAGTTGGCAGAATAACGCCGTGTGGTTTACTATTAAGCTGCACGATTTTTCAAAATAAGGTAGA